CGTTCCCGATTATACGTCGTTTGTCAAAAAAGTATATGGAAAAATAAAAATCAAGTTTAAGTCATTTTATTCGACTTTACGTCTGTCCGTCACAAATATTGAAGTCGTAATATCACTAGAAAAATGTTTAAAGCACATAAAATCATATTAAAATATATACATTTACAAGTATATACTGTATTCACAGTACATGCATTCGTAAATTAAGATTACTATATTAAAAACTAAAATTTATTTGTTTGTAAGTTTAATATAGATCCTTATTAACCATATATTATTAAAAATGCATTAATAAATAAAATACAGAACCGGAATTGGCAATTTATGGTTTAGCCTAGTGACAAGTAGATTTGGAGACGAGTAAATTCGACTTACATCGTTTTTCGACTTAAGTCATTCTCCTGGAACCAATTACTGACGTAAGGCGAGGTATACCTGTATAATAAATCTGATACAACTCATTTTTGAAGCACTATTTTTCAATATTACTCTCATCTATAGGAATGTATATACTCTATATTCATTTTTTCAGAAGAGTTATGCTGAAGTACAGAATATACATGTAACCAGGCCTGCCGTAAGAGGGCGTGCAAGGCATGCACCACATGCGGGCGGCGGCAAATCGAGCCATCGGTCACGTAATATTGAAAGTCATTGTCATAATACCCATTCTACTTATAGCATAAGAAATGTCTTCGCATGGAGAAAAAAAATCCGACCGGCACACAACTACTATATTCTTATTTATATTATAGCGTTAACATCATCTCTATTGGCATTTATCAGAATTAAGATGCAATGAGAAACGTCTGTCGGCAGGTTAAACCATCCGGCGGCACCCGAAAGCCAAGTACCCATAGTTGTGCATTATGACAGAAGTTGACAGGACTGGCAAAAATAGGGAATCCCCACAGACCGTCCTTCTCAATTTGTACTTGTACGCATTCGAACAATTCTATCGCATATCAAATTGCAATTATTTTGTTAATAATTCTTCTGACATGGGTCTAAGTATAATTAATGATACAGTTGACCCGTCATAACACTGTTGATTATTCCGTTTTATACGAATTCCACGTTGTACAAGATAACTTAGATTTTACAAATACGTGAGCCATTCACAGCCTGGCACACGTATTTGTAAAATCTAAGTGATTCGTACAACATGGAATTCATATAAAACAGAATTATCAACAGTGTTATAGGGGGGTCAACTGTATTTTAACTTGGTTAGGATTTAAATCTGAAGCTTAAAGACGATTCAAGTAGTGAAACAGACATTGACGGTATTGATTTGTTTAATGAAATCAATACTTTAAAGTTGCATTTTCCAGAAAACCAGTCTAATGATCCACAAACCCTATTACAATATCTTTTTACTAATGACTTAATTTAAACATTTCCGAACACAGCAATAGCACTAAGAATATTACTTACATTGCTGGTTTCAGTTGCATTTGGTGAAAGGTCCTTTTCAAAGTTAAAAATTATAAAAAAAAAAAAACTATTTAAGATCAACAATGCACCAGCAAAGACTAGTAATTTAGCTACAGTTTCAATTGAACATGAAATCTTAGACAGCTTGGATAAAAGTTAATTGATATCAGATTTCACAAACAAAAAGGCAAGAAGAGTTCAATTTCTGTAGATAAATATTTATATGGTTTCACACTTAAGTAAACAAAAATAACTTAGTAATAATAAATAGTATTTCTTTTCTTTTTTCTTACAAGAAAACACTAAAGAGCCTTTCTGGCAAGCTCAGCGTAGGTAGTCGTAGTTAAACAGGGGGCAGCATAATCGGTATTGCACACGGGCGTTCAAACAGCTAGCGGCGCCCCTGCATGTAACATAATAATTTGTCCATTCTCTTTAACTAAATTTATAAAATTGTATCATCTTTTGTGAAGAACTTATCACTAAAGAAAATTATTTAATTGTTCTTAGTGATTTCAAATATTATTCGTTTCTAATGATTATTATACTGAAATCATTAGGAACAAAGTATAAAAATCACCAACAAGCTTCAAATTGTTCGAATAATACCACGCATTATTTTATTCAGCAATGCGCTGAGCAGTTGCTGCCGGAAATGACATTTTTGCTGGAGAAAGAGCTATCTCAAAATGGCTGAATGTGTGTTTGTTTGATATTATTTGAAGAAAAGCCATTAAGTTCGACGTTGTTTATAAGAAAACGAGGAAATGATGATTTATTTATGGCATTGGCAATGACTGATTTCCAACAACGAAGAAAGCGTGCAAAAATCGTTGGTTACATTCACGATATCGTACTGCAATATTCGAACGAAATCTTTAAAAGCTATTTTTGTATGTCACAATTAAAAATTTGCTCATTTAAAACAGCAAAAACTGATTATTATTTGGCAGTCGAAAAAGATAGTTTCTCGCGGAGGCGTCCATCTTGTAAGCACTATTTTTAGCGTGGTCAAGAGGTGCTGCTAGTGCGCTGAAAGCACACCTTAAGCGGGCTGACAGTAGGCTTAATAATTGAACACATGTGCTAAAAGCGCTGCAAGTGCACTGAATAAAAGAATGCGCGGATAAGGAACAGTTTTCATCATAGAGATTTCACTAGTGATCTTTACAATGTCTACAATAGGATTCATTTATTTTGAGTATTCTTATAAATATATTTGAGAAAATTGCTTAAGTTTAATAAATTGTAACAAATGATTACTACGAATTTATTGCATTTATTATTTTTAAAACAAATGAAAATTTTAAATCATTCTTATACATACCTTTATATCATATTCCATTTTTTCAATTTTCCCTCTCAATCTCTGTTTAAGTTCAAGTAATTCAAATTTAGACCTACAAATTTAAAAAATTATTATGTTTGACACTGTCTAAATGATTAACTTATCGTTCAATATAAGTTTACAGTCTGTTATTATCTGCTTAATAAATAACTATGAGCCCGCTGACCTTATTGTTATGATTTCATCACGCATTCCAATTTTTATTCATTAATGCACAATGCCCCGGAATGCATTTCGGCTTATTTAATAGCCTCTTCGGCCAGGTTATATATACATATTTCAACAATACGGTATTATAATTAAAATACATATAAAAGAATCTAATAAAAGAAAATACAAAATACAAATAAACCGACATTTATATCACTATATAACTAACTACCTAAATCATTATACAGTAAAACCTCGAAAACTCGGCTCTCGATAACCCGGCACTCCGGATAACTCGGCCACACCCTGGCAGGGCAAAAAAATCCTTAGTTAATTAATTTTCATTATAGACAGCTTTATAAAAGTATAAAAGCTCTCATAATGTATTTTTCTGAGGTCTGTCTTATCAGGTAAATTACTGTACACAGTGTATTCATTAATTTTCATTTTCATGTAGTAAAGGCTCTATGCCTTCATAAAGGACGTACTTTTCCTTTGTTTAAGGGTATTTGGGCAGTTTATTCTGTTATATTCTCAAGTAAACAATACATACAAGTACAGTACAGTATTTTCTGAGGAAACACTCATACTTATTTTTTTAACCCCATTCCCGATAACCCGGCATTTTCACAAACTCGGCCACCCTTCGGTCCACATTAGGCCGCGTTTTCGAGGTTCTACTGTAATAATAATTATAAGAAATATTGGTATTAAATTACCAAACACTGTAACAATACTTAAAGTTAATTCTATATCTCATGTGCACTGTTGTGTAATATTCAGTTCTTGAAGGTGTTTTTATTTTGGTATATTCTTTATCTTCTTTTTAAGTCTAATACACCATGAAATTGAAATCATCATATTTTACATTAAACGGAAAGGTGTGCGACGAGTCCGAAATCATAACAATAAGACCAGTGGACTCATAGTTATTTATTAATAATTAATGATTAACTTGTGTTTAAAATAATAAGGGCAGGGCCAGCAAGATGGAAGCTGGGGATTTTCTGCCAGATAACACTTATAATTATAAGGGATTTTTCTGTCAAGATGACACTTAATTTATAAGGGTAAGAACCACTACCAGAGAACTGGTAGTAGTTCTTACCCTTATAAATTAATGTTATTTTTACTAACAAAATTAAAATCTTTAAGTATACTTTTTATTAGTAAAGAGACATTCTATGTATTTCATTTGTTCAAAGAAATATTAGTAATTTTAGCAAAGCCTGAAATGTATAGTACAACCACTTGATATGTCAGGCCCCACCA